AGGAGTCAAGTAATTGTACTTGGTTTTTGTGTGGCTGTCTGTCTGTTTTTCAGTATCTCAGAGCCTGTATTCTCACCCAAGAAATCTGGCTCTGTAGTTTATTTTTTTCCAGCAACCAGAAGCTTTATTGTTTCTATTTGATTTTTTCCCTAAAAAAGCAGCCCAAGAAATCCGAAATAAATAATGGCCTGGAAGTCTTGCACGGGTCCAGTTTTAGTACAGTGGCCCTTTCCCGTTCCTCTCTTCAGTTCATATAGTACCTCACTTAGCCACTCGGAAAGAATTTATTTTCTCAATATCAACTGCGTTCAGAATCAGTGGCCCTTTTTGAATTTTCCAACCTGTCCAATCCGTCCACTTGACAGAATACTGGGAGCCGATCTCTTCTTTTTGGCTTTCCTGTCTTCCTGCCTTTTCCTCTTTTTTTTCTTGAAAATATCTGTGTCCTGGGCCATTCTTTCTTCTTCCTTTGCTGCCTTTTTTTCTTTGATCTGCTCCTGCAAAACCTTGTAATTCAATAACTCCTTTTGGGAGGCTGCACACCGAGCATAACCTCGAGTTCAGAGAGGGAACTGCTGCAGCAGGAGGGGCCGGGGCCTGCAGGGGCTCCAGGGGGTTCACGGGAGAGGCACATTGCAGCTCTTCTCTGAGCTCCGAGAAGCTCAGAGCCTCTTTCTCTGACCTCTTACAAGAGAACCAGCTGGGGGAGCGGGTTCTGTCCCCAACACCACTGAAGTCCCCACATCTCTCTTCTTGTTTTCCCTTTTCTTTCTGATCCTTTTCTGTTCTGCTTCATCTTCTGTCCTCCAAAGTCGTAGAGGTTCTGGAGCACAGCGTCCAGAACAGACAGGAGGGCCCCAACCCCTGATGGTGTCGGGCTCCATGGGACCACCCAGAGCCCCCAGGATGCTGAGCACATGCCCTCTCTTCCCTGTAGTTCACCTTAATTACTATGACGTTGCGGAGAAGGGTACGAATCAGGTTTTCATAAAGGCTGGCCTGGCTCCCTGGTGGAGCATCGACCTGTGAACCAGGAGGTTGAAGTTCCATACCTAGTGGGGGCATGCAGGAGATGGCGAGTAGGTGGTTCTCTCTCATCATTGATGTTTCTATTTCTCTCCCTCTCCCTTCCTCTCTGAAATCAATACAAATATATACTTTTTTAAAAAAAAGATTGGGAAGAATTAGTGGATAGGGTCCCAGAATATTAAATGTCCTATAGTGTGAGTAATGGTTGTGAACAATAAAGAATTGATTTCTCCAGAATCCACAAAGAACACCTGTTGAGAAACAGTACATTATAGTAGTATAGGCTCTAAATTGCCGAAATTGACTCAAAAAGTTTTTTTTAAAACATAGACTACTCTTTATGGAAAACATTGCAAATGTTACCTGAAAATAAATTGATAGGCAGTGGAAACTTAGTTCTTTTAAGACTTTTCAGGGAATAGGTAAGTCTGATATTATATATAATAATCTCTTCCAGAATATGAAAGTATATAGATTGCCTTTTAATTGATTTTATGAAATTAATAAAATAGGAAAATTAAATTTTGAAAAATATTACTAGAGACAATGAGGAAATTTTATTATGATAAAAGGGTCAACATATCAGGAAGATATAACAAGTATAAATGTATTCATGCTGTTGTGAGTTGAATTGTATCCCAAATTCATGTTCACCCTGAACCTCATAATGTGACCTTATTTGGAAATAGAGTCTTTGCAGATGTAATTAGTTAATATAAGATCATGCTGGAAAGGGGAACTGGAGTGTTCTAAATTCCAGGACTGGCATTGTTACAAGAAGAGGAAAGGGCACACAGACATGAGTTCAAGAATAAACCCTTAAATTTATGGTCAGTTGACAAAAGTGCCAAGGTAATTCAGTGGAGAAATGATAGTCCTCCCAACAGATGGTTCTGGAACAATAAACTCTCCAAGTGCATACAAATAATTTTGAAAGATCTGCAAGAAATTTGTAATATTTGTAGACTTTGGGAAGAATTAGGTAGCTGGATGGCCAGAGTGAAAAGAGAACTTTTTATCTTTCAAATTTCAAACCATGTGGATATAATCACTACTGAAAAATAAAGTTAAATAAAGTCTATGCCCTAGCCAGTTTGGCTCAGTGGATGGTGCGTCAGCTTGCAGACTGAAAGGTCCCAGGTTCGATTCTGGTCAAAGGCACACGCCTGGGTTGCAGTCTCGATCCCCAGTAGGGGGTGTGCAAGAGGCAGCCGATCAGTGATTCTCATCATTGATGTTTTATCTCTCCCTCTCCATTCCTCTCTGAAATCAATAAAAACATGAAAGAAAGAAGTTCTTGTATCTCTATTTTATTGAAGCAATCATTAATAAAATCATTTATTTTTGTTTTGTTTTCTAGGACAAAAGATGAAACATCAAGAAAAAGAAAGAGAAGGAAAAAAGAAGGAAACAACCAGATATCACCATTACAAGGTCTCATGAACTTTCTGTTTAAGGAGTTTATTTTATGATACTTTTAGTTTGGGTTTACATTTTTACTGGTTTGTCAAGACCACAGCAGTTACAGTGTCCAATATGATAAAGAAAAAAATAATTTTGTCTGTTACATACAATGTAAATATACTTCAAAATTTAGATTTATTTTTGTCATATCTTAAATATCTCGATCAAGATTAGTAGAGCAGACCCACATGCTTCAAAACATCAAATATTGCCAGTTGGATTATTGTAATCTCTGTACCCTGGGAGAGATGACATACAGTAAGTTGTCTGCTTTCAAATTTTATTTTAAAAAGTACATATTAACATATTTTATAAAGCTTGTTAGAGTACTTTTGTATAATTAAAATACAGAATTGCAAGTCCTTAGAAAAGGAATCTGTTAAAAAGAAATATATCCAGTGATTCTTAAATATCAAAATATCAAAGTTGGTTTTCATCTTGTTTTCTATCTTGTGTTGGAATAGTTAGGGTCCAGTCTGCTCTTCTAAATCATCAGGTGCTTAGAAATTATTTAAGTTGCTAAACATATCTAAACTTGAATATTTTATATCTGTATTTGTGATTATCCTTCTTTTTGTATTTGTCCACATTTTTATGGGCTTTAAAAAGGCAGAGACTTCTTTTAGAAAAGAAATACTGCCCATACGAATCATATGGGTGTCCAGAGCAATGATTAATCTGTTTCAGATGAGCACGCCTTCAATCATGCTCGCCTCCCCAAAGGAGAGCATAGTATTTGACTTGAACATTGAAGGATGCATAAGTTTTATTAGGTAGAAACTTCAGAATTTCACCTGGTAGTTGGCATTGGATTTTATTGTATGAAATTAGAAACTCACTAATAAGCTTCACTTCTCTCAAAATTGATGCAATACGGATATTAAGTACTTGATTGACTTGAAATAATTTGAGGTTGGAAGTGGCTGAA